GGACGCTACTTGTCACGAGCAAAAGAGAAAGAAGAAAACCAAAGTCTCAGGGAAGAAGCTAGTCTACAGGGCTAATAACCTACATGAGCCACAGCCTCATCTATCCTGAGAAGAGAATAACTAGATGGTGCCCAGCTACCCCTACCGACTCTCCGGATCAAGGCCACAACAGATGGAGAGAAAAATGCAGAACAGAACTCAAATTCCTAAAAAGTCCGGACTTACTGGACCACTTGAGACTAGAGGACTCCCTGAGACTATCACCCTGAGACGCTCTTTAAATCTTGAACCGAAACTATCCCCTGAGGTCACCTTTTAGCGAAATAACAGATTGGCACACAAAATAAAGGCTATTAATCACCTGTGAGTATAGTGTTCCATTAAAAAAAAAAAAAAAACGCATATATACGAGACCAAAAGGTCAACATTTACTCTAAAGCGAAGATGAAAAGATAAGGGAGCAGAGAAACTAGAGTAGTGGAAACGGAACAACCAGAACGGAATTAAAGAGAATATCGAGACGCTGTAAAAAATGTAACAATTTGGGTAGAAATTGTCAAATGGGAATCTAATTTGCTGTTAAACTTTCACTGAAAACACAATAAAATGTTATTTAAAAAAAAAATGTGTTCCAGAGAGGCAAGTTAGTAAAATAAATTTAGTTAATTTATTCAAACCAGAACCCTAATTCAGTTGTCCAGTTACTCCGTGGCCTTTTAACGGATAGGGCACAACACCTTTGATTCAAAAAAATCTCAAAAGATTTTCACAATTATTAACTTCGACCACACCCTGGAGTGGAAAGCCGAAAGGATTGAGAAAGCCGTCAGATGAGGTTTCTGAGTTCACACAGTGAAATCTTTGGAGAGTTAAGAAACATCTGACTTTCAGTCAGTCTCTATTCACCAAATAACATTTCCTCTTCAATTGCTAAAGCTAAAGTTAAATAAAATAATGAAAGTTATTTCTTTATCAAGGTTAACCCCACTTAGTGGACACACGCTGATGCCAAATAATTAAAAACAAATTACCTGGAAGGACCTACCGCTTCTCCAGCAGGGGAATCCCCCTTTGAAAGGCTTGGCTATGTAGAGTTCATAAAAGATCATGGGTTTTTATTGACTGGAAAGAAATCAAATTCCAATGCTGAGAAAAAATTCAGCGCTGAGATACTTAATTTCTGGAAGACAGGCGCTCTGCCAGTTATGCTTTATAGCCCTGGCGCGGTGGTTAAGATCTCCAGAGCTAACCAAAGGTCGGCAGTTTCGAATCTGCCAGCCACTCCTTGGAAATGCTATGGGGCAGTTCTACTTTGTCCTATAGCGTCCCTATCAGTCAGAATTGACTTGACGGCAACGAGTGTGACAGTGCTATATCATGACCCAAAACCGACTCATCGCCACCCTGTAGGATAAAATAGAACTGCCCCATAGGGTTTCCAAGGCTGTGTAATCTTCACTGAAGCAGACTGACGCATCTTTCTCCCTGAAGAGCAGCTGGTGGATTCAAACCTCCGACCTTTCAGTTAGCAGCCCAATGCTTAACCACTGCGCCAGCAAACCAAAAAACCAAACCCATTGCCATGGAGTGGATTCTGACTCATAGCTACCCTATACGGCAGAGTATAACTGCTCCATAGGAATTCCAAGGAGCGCCTGGTGGATTCAACTGCTGACCTTTTAGCAGCCGAACTCATAACTGCGTCACCAGAGCTCCTTTATATCATGACAAATTAATTTTTTAAATGAAACATTATTGGTGATGCTGTTAGTAAGAATGATGATAATTGATAAACCTTTGAAAACTAGTGGCATGATGATACAAACAAGCTAGTATCTAGAGCAATTAGCAGAGAGAGAATTCACTGATGTAAGTCCACCCTGAATGGAAATCCAGTCTTCCTGCTGCTCCTATAAAGAGGTGGGCTTCTTTATTCAGCACTGCCTGGCCGTCAGCTTTTTATCTCTGCTCTGTACCTCCACTCTAGTCTCCTCTGCTCTCGTGCTCCTTCCCAGCATCCTGCTAAATACAAGCCTTTTCTACCTCTCAACTCCACCTCATTCTTGATGTGTCCTGTTTCCTTCCATCCAATCAAGAAAGGAGGGTGGAGCTGCGGCTCCCCTGGCAGCCAAACATCTTGGCTCCTTGATTCAGGCTCCACCTCCCACAACACCCACCACCTGGTGTGGACTACACAGCTCCTTCCCAGAAGCTGTTTTTCCGTCCTAGGAGCTGACTTCATTGTTCCTGGGGCTGAAGCCACCTATCAGGCGACACTTGCCAGTCTGGGAGGTTATGGCAGTTTTGTGTTTGTGGCACAGGAGGACACAGCCTGTACCATTGTCTTTTGTCATAAAGATGGCACTTAGCAACTATCCTTCCCTTTCTGTGAGTGTGAACATGGCTAAAAACAAAAGTGCTTTTAAGTATGGGTCAGCCACATTAAGCACGTGGGTATAGTTGCTGAATTGACTACTTTAGGAGCCTTGCTGTTGCTTATGGAAATTGCCAGAGTGTACAGCTCTGCTTCCTGTTCTGCACATCAGCGTGACATTTTGGCTCAAATCGGGCCCCTCTCATGGGCTGCCACACAAACATTGTCTGGTGTTGTCATTTCCTGGCAGCGAGCAATCATCCCACGTTGTCTCAGGATGCTCTCATGCTGTTCTTCTCCTGGTGGCTGAGCCGGTCCTCAGAAACCCAAGGTATATCTGGAATCGATCTGTTGGAGACTGTGGGCAGGAAGAAAGCCAATGTGGCTTATTGGAAGGAACACCAAGTCCTTTTGATAGTAGAGGAACTGGCTCCCTCCCACTCACCACTTAGTTATCACAAAGTACACGTGCTTTCCCGTCCCTTCACTACCTGGAACCACAAGGTGGAGAAGATAGCACTGTTGGCTCTTTTCCATTACCGCTGACCTGCCTGGCCACATAGCACCGTCTACTGAACACCAGCCACCACATAGTCTCAGCAACCCAGCTAGTCAGCTGTCTTTCTAGATTTTTTCCACTGATGTTCACTTTGTTCTAAGCCGTAACCCTTACTCTTTAGGGGCCTCAATTTCCCCATCATTTAAATAAATGTAATAGTCATTAATCCAAGTTGAACTCTGTATCCTCAGGATAGAATGTATTATATTAATGTAAAATATGTTTTTTCTCAGGTGTAAACTGGAAATAATTAATTTGACCTACTACCTTGATAATCCATCAAATATTCAACTAATATTTAACGTCTACTCTGTGTGCATAACGGCGCTAGGTGCCCACTGTGAAGATTTAAACACTGATTATATATTGCTCAGGGAAATTTGCGTCTTTAAGAAGTTAATAACAATCGCTCATTTCATATTTTAAATGACAAAATTTTATTCAATACTCAAGATTGAGTAGAATAATAGGAATTTCAATGCCACAGAGGAATAAAAAGTGAACAATTCCATTCAGACTTGAGATTTGGGAAGGACTAAATATAATGTTAGTAACACCCATGCGGACTTTCTTTGTTACAAAGGACTAATTAATCCTTACAGGATACAAAGCATTGCCCTTAAGCACAAATATTACGTAAACCTAAAAAGGAGAAGAGGCTTAGGGCTCTGGTGTCCTTAGGTTGAGTGGTCAGGAACCCTGAGGATGGAGAGCTGGGGAGAAGTTTATAGAGCTACTAGAGCTTTCCAGATCTTGGACTGCTTAGCACATACCTGGTGAGACACCTACCCACCCCAGGACACGACAACCCTTTGAAAAACACTATTCTCTAGGCACAACATATCTTTCTTATTTTCTCCGTAACTTTTCTTTATCCACTGGGATCCCCACGGAGGCCCTTTCCCTCTCTTTCCCTCCTGTGTATCTGAAATAAAGACAATAGTTAGCATCTGTAACTTCACAGGCCTTGAAATTCTAGTTTTGCTCATACCTCCTACAGTTAAAACGGTTTCTGAATTTTTTGTTGCTTTGCCCTCAGCAGTAACTTCCAGTTGCCCAGCATCCTAACAGCAGAGAACGCGATTCTGTGGGCCAATACATTTGTGTGCAGGAGGCACAGATACCTCCTGATAACCCTGTCTTCACGCTAGTGGCTTTTACATTGTTCAAGCTTTTAGAAATACCATAATCTCAGTATATTAAATATTAAGGGACTCCTTTAGATTCCTTGAGCCTTAAAGTTATATTATGCAGATCTGTGCAGTGTGTTTCCATGGTGCAGAATAAAAGTTATGGTAAGCTTTTTTGAAGCAGCATTACTATAAACGTCACTCCTGCCACTGCCGTTCACAAGGGCCCACTTGCTGTGAAATATTTTGAAAACAGTACCGAAGTGGAAATAACGCAGAGGCAAACAGGCGGAAATAAGAATAAACTGAGCGTGGCCGACAGAAACTGGGAGGTTAGCTGCTTCTGGAAAGGAAGAGAATGCTTGGTAAAACTGGAGGGAAAAAAACACGCGGGGGCTGTTGTTAGAAGACCTCCCGAGTATGGTTCCCTTGCCGTGGGGCTTCTGGAGGAGGAGGAAAGACTCCCCAGGGAAGAGGAAACAGCCCCCCCAAAAAAAACCGCTTCAGAGACTGCAGCTTCTCCCCTCACACCCCAGGGAGCAGTGCTTTCTCAGGCCACAATTCTCGCGACCCAAAAATAACTACACAGATGTAAGGAAAGGGGGCCAAAGTCTGCGGCACAGGGCGGTGTTTCGTTACGGTCTTATCGCTTACAACCAGAACGAACAGTCAAAACCTACCCCAGGCCGGCCTTTTATAGCGAGTCCCTCGAGCCCCGCCCTAGCAACTTCTCCTAGCAACGCCTCGCCCGCGGGTTCTGCTGTCTTATCAGCCTCCGCCAGGCCCTTCCTGTTCCCCTCCCCCCGCCAGCGCGGCTCGGCCGCCCGGCTCACAAGACTGGCCCCAGGGGAGGGAAGGGACCAGCGGAAGACGTGAGGGGCGGGGCTCTGGAAGGCAGGCCAACGTCATCAATGCGCGCCGGAGTGGTTGTGGCGCCGAGCGTTTCAGAGACTGTCGAGGTTCTGGAACTAGGTGAGATGGCGGAGTCTGCGGCGCTGGTGTGGATTCGCGGCCCCGGCTCCGGGTGCAAGGCGGTGCGGTGTGCCTCGGCTCGGTGCTCCGTGTGGGATTTTATCCACCGTTACTGCCAAGATCAGGTGACGATCGCGGCTCCTGGATATGGAAAGAGGCGAACGAGAGGCAGGACTGGGCGCGCAGAGGGCCTGTCGGGGACGCGTCTGTTCGCTGGGGTTTTCAGTGTTTAAGGATTCGCTGGTTTTAAGATGCTTCGAACTGATCCTGAGGCCTTCCTTTGCTTTTGTTTTGTGGTGGTGGTTGTTTTGCCTCCCTATAAAGGAGAGAAAAATCCGCTCACAGGTGCAGCCCTTAGTCCAGCCCTCAGGCACAAACATTTCGGGTTTCAGTTTCATCTGTAAATGAGGCAGTTGCACCAGATGACCTTTAAGGCTCGTGTCCTTACGTTCATACTATGGTTCTGTGACGTGCGTTTTGCCTACTAATGGCACAGCTACGTTAGCTTTGACCTAGAGAAGTACGGCTAAAGAATGATGGAGTGGGAAATGAATTCATGTGGTCACTGGTCGGGACCAAGGACCCACGCATGTGTTTTGTTGAGGACATGGATTCTTAGGGCCTGTCATTTGTTTGCACTGATCATTTGATCTCATTTGTCCATACGTATTTTAAAAAACCTATCAGGGACTTCCAGAGTTACTTGTGTAGTTTTACGTGATCCTCAAGTAAGTGAGCTTTTACCATTTGTGATATTAATCCTATTCAGTTAGCTAATAAATTTAGTAGTCTCCTTAAATCTAATATAAATTCGGTACTTCATCTAGTGGAGTCTTGGTGGCGCTGTGGTTAAGCGTTCGGCTGCTAACCAAAAGGTTAGCAGTTGGAACCCACTAGCTGTTCCTTGGAAACCCTATGGGGCAGTCCTACTCTGCCCTATAGGGTCACTATGAGTCGGAATGGACTCGACGGCAACGGGTTTACGGGTACTTCATCTAATACTCTTGTTTCTATATCACCACACCTCTTCCATGCTTCCCAGCCTGTTTCCTCTGCTTGTTATTTATAAACTTCACAAATGTTAATACTACAGTGTGAATCAAAGCTTTAAAAAACTTGGACTTGTTCCATGAAGAAGCAATGTGTGCTCGCAAATGTGGTTTTTCAGCTTCCTCATTTTTCTTCCTATACCGCAATCTAGTCTAAAGACTGTCAGCAGAACTTTTTTTGATCATCTGAATGGGGAAATATTTTCCAAGGAAGTCGGAGTTTAATATTTCTGAAAATAACTCTTATCTCATGGGTGCAGTTTTCAAACTTATTGACAGCTGATCCAGAGTGAGGCCAAAAAATAGTATCTTAATTATGAGAAATGTTGGTAATAAGAATTTTTAAATAAGAAGTAAGAAATATAAATGAGTGGATTCAGTCAGGCACCGTAGAAACATGATCATAACAGATATGAATAGAAACATAGAGCTTATAAAAGGGCATTTGATGAGATACTGGAACACATAAAAATAGCTCAGGTTCCCACCAGTGCTTTTTAGAACAAAACTATTCTGACACATGATAAGATTGGCGTTAGCTCCCACTGGAAAAGTAAAAATCTGCCCTGCTGTTCATCGGACTAATACAGCTGACACAGACAAAGCCAGCTGCTAAGTTAATAGGAAACTATTTCCCCCAAGGACATAGTGTAGTGGTGAAATGTCATAATGACCTTGAGAGTCTGCTGCAGAAACCTTAGTCTTAAAATCATAGACTATAAGAAACTACTCTTTGAAATTATTGCAGTAAGAGTGAACCATCCTGCTCTTGCTTTGAGGCACTAAGTCACTTTGATACAGAGAAGCACTCATGATTTCCAACCCAGGTGCAGAGCTTCAGCTTAGGGGTATCTGAACGCAACTGTTCTACACATAACTTTGTACTTTCTAAGGAAACAGGAGCCTGGATCCACTTCATAGTCTCTAGACCTGATGTTGCCCCTTTTACACACAGACAGCCCTGCTTTATTTTGATCCTAACACATTGCTTCGTTTACATCTCACCTAAATTCCATTCTTGCCCCAAATCCTATAAAAACTCTTTTCTTTTGTTGGTGAGACACCCCATGATTTCTCTGGTGTAATGAGTCAGTAAACTTGACTTTGGTGGACTGCAGGCTTGTCTCTTGTGGGTCTTAGGTCCGTTGGGCTGGGACACGCATCATACTTTGTGCTTGAAGTGCTTTATAATTCACAAATGGTTAAAACAGTTAAATTGATTATAAATGTATACCCTTTTTTCCCCCTACTAGTGACTATTAATACAAGAATCTTAACCAGCCCCTTCCCTCCCAAAAAAAAAACCTGTTGCCATCGAGCTGATTCGGATTCATAGCGACCCTGGAGGACAGAGTAGAACTGCCTCATAGGGTTTCCAGGGCTGTATCTTTACAGAAGTGGACTGCCAGATCTTTCTCTCAGCAGAGTGGCTGGTGGGTTTGAACCACTGACCTTTCCGTTAGCAGCCAAGCGCTTAACCATTTGCTACCAGGGCTCCTTAAACCTGGCATAACCCGATGCCGTCAAGTCGATTCTGAGTCATAGCAACCCTATAGGACAGAGTACAACTGCCCCATGGGGTTTCCAAGGAGTGGCTCTTGGATTTGAACTGCCAACCTTTTGGTCAGCAGCTGAACATTTGACCACTGCGCCACCAGGGCTTCTAAACCTGGCATAGTACCTGGCAAATAGCAGGCACTTTATTTGTGTAGTGAATAAATGAATAGTTCCCTTTGAAATAGTTGTGAGGTGTGGTTCAGGACTAATTGTTCATAGTTTCCCTTCAGGAAGATACCAATAATGCATTTTTCCTTTCCTGTTGGTATGTCTACCTCTTCACTCTTGATATTGCAGATTAAATTGTGTACCTCCTAGGTTCCTCATAACTTTGAAGAATACTCCACTGTCGGCTTATTTCACAGCAACAGAAACTTGTTTAGAAAGACTTATGGTGTTTATTTTTTCTTTTTGTCACTTGATCTGAGAGTTTCAGAAATATTAAACGGGGTTTAAGGGTACTTGAGCTTCCGCAGTGATTGGCTGTAAACCTGGGAAGGGTAGCAGAAGAGGCAAGCACTGGCTGCTAGCTGGTGCTAAAAATATTAAAGTTTATATCAAACCTGTTGCTGTCAAGTCAATTCCGACTCATAGCGACCTATAGGACAGAGTGGAACTGCCCCATGGGGTTTCCAGGGAGCAGCTGGTGGATTCAAACCGCCACCTTTTGGTTAGCAGCCAGACTCTTGGCCACTGCACCACCAGGGCTCTGAAGTTTATATAGGTGTGTTAAAAACCCTCCCCGTGTCTCCTCCCGTCCCCCCAGTCTTATCCCCTACCGACACTTGTCAGGATGTATATTGTCAGTTTTAAACTTGAGGACCACTCTTGATGTTCAGCTTGATTTTACCTGTTAGAAAAAGTCAGAGAAAATGGGAGCCCCAGAATTAGTGGATCTGAGCCCTGTGCATTCTTCTGCGTCAACTGAGGTTTCCTACTAGAGAAGAAGGAAGAAGCAGTTTTTACTTTCAGCCAAAAGACTGAAGGTTCTTCTGTACATCCTGATTAGATAGTATTAGCAAAAAATTGCACCCAGAACGCTTCATATAAAGTGAATTTTTCTTTTAGTAGTTTTTATTTTCCGTTCAACAAATATTAATTAAATACATACTGTCTGCTTGTAACTGGTGATAATGAAAAGATAAACTAGGTCCCTTCTTACAAGAAACTTGTATTGTCTCATTAAAAGCATTTAAAAAATCAAACTTGTCTCTAGGATGTTCCAGTGGAATACTTCTTTGTGAAATGCAATGGAGCCCTCATTAACACCAGTGATGCTGTGCAGCATGGAGCTGTTTATAGTCTGGAACCCAGACTCTTTGGTGGAAAAGGAGGTAGGGATGAATGGTGACTGCTTAGGTGTAACACGTCTGTAAACTTTAACTGTAGTTATTAAATTAACAAACTCCTCCATCTCCCTGGTACGCCAGCCTTGTTTTGCTTTGTGAAATCCTTTATTTACTCAACTCATGTTGTGTGTTTTCCCTTTTATTCTTTTTGGGGAAGAAATAGTGTATGATACGATTTCCACCCTCTTCAGCCAGATAGTTCCTAGGCAGCCCAGGCTCTAAAACTTTGGAGAAGATTAAGTGAAGAGAGGACCATTATTCTGTCTGGTTTGCTGAAGGAAGAGAACAGTTCTTTCTATTTCTCCTGAGGCACTAACATATCATCCCCAAGCTCTCTCCAGATCTGCAGTGATTTGGTTTGGTTTTCAGAGAGCTGACATGTCAGAGTCTAATCATTCTGCGGTTTGAAATTATCAGGAAGAATGAAGCATGCCGTATCAGCCAGTGACAGCTTGAAATTGCCTTTCGGTTTAACTCATTGCAGAGTCTCACCATATCATTTTTCAAGTTCTTAATGGAAATCCTGGGATCTCTATCCCTGGGTAAAGCTCTCTGTGTAGGCACAGTATTTCAGAAAGATAAAATGAAGGGCAAAAGGCATTAGACTGAATCAAGTTTGTCGCTCCTTTTACCTTTGCTTCCTGGGTTAGAACCTCGAGGTCCATCTCCCTTTTCAAAAAACGAGAGAGAGAATTCACCTTTAATCTTGTGGTAAAATACTGTTTTCATAAATTCAGCTTTCATCCATCCTTGAACACTTCTCAACCTGTACCCTCCAAATACGTCTGCTCAGGTTTTGGTTCCATGCTCCGAGCACTTGGTGCTCAGATTGAGAAGACAACCAATCGCGAGGCTTGCCGGGATCTCAGTGGGAGGAGACTACGAGATGTCAATCATGAAAAAGCGTAAGATACTCTTTTTTCTTTTCTTTGAAGAAAGAAACATAATTTCCTATCAATAACAATTATGCATGTGCTATGCATATCTGAAATGTAAATGTTAAATATTTGTGTTCTAATTTATTGCTGTTAGATTTATCCTTTTCCATAATTTAATAATTATCTTTGGGTTTGTAGTAAGTCCCTACCAGTATGCCAGTAAGCATGGCACACTTTCCTGAGGAAGTGTCACAATATGGGCAAAAGTACATTACTTTGATTGGGGGCAAGTGTTTTACATATAATATATCCATTTAGTTACACCTCTTCCTCCCCCACCCATAGAATGGCTGAGTGGGTGAAACAGCAGGCCGAGCGAGAGGCTGAAAAGGAGCAGAAGCGCCTGGAGCGCCTGCAGCGGAAGCTTGCTGAACCCAAGCACTGCTTCTCCAGCCCCGACTACCAGCAGCAGTGCCATGAGATGGCTGAGCGTCTGGAGGATTCCGTCCTCAAAGGTGAGAACACGCATTTGTTAGTGTGGTCAGCAGGCACCCCTGAAGCTGGCTGTTCCAGACCCTTCCACACTGCACACAAAGAGCAGTTCTTAAGCTTTCATGAATCACAGACCTCTTTGAGGTCTTTGAATCAGGTGAACCTCTCCCCTCAGAAATGAACCACATACCCGCAGGACATTTGACATACTTAACCCCTGAATTCCATGGGCCCGTGGACCCAGGTGAGAAGGCTTTTTGTGCTTCATGGGGATAAGCTAAATTCAGGAGGTGGCCAGACCTCAGCATCTTTGCTCCCCGTTTCAGGTCAACCTTTTAGTGGTTTTTAATGAGAGTGATGCTCATTAACTTTTATTTTTTTTAGCATCCAAAGCATTAGGCTAGGGCTGTTGTGGGTCTAATTGAATAGGAAGGGATCTTTTCCATCAAGAAAGCTTATGACATAACAGGACAGACAAACAGATGCAAATAACAGAGCACATAGTGATGAATTAGCAGGTTTGGTGAGGGCTCGGTCTGAGTCTGTCAGCCTCAGGGTTAGAAGTTGGAGATTGGTGCTATTGTGCTTTGCTTTAAAAATCTGATTCCAGAACCAGAATGCTTATTATTTTAAATCTGTGCATGTTTGAGATCAGTCTCATTTTAACCATGTAATATTCTGATAAATTTAAATATATAGCCATTTTATTCCTTTGCAGCTCTTTTTTGGAATCTGGATCATTTATAGTTTCTTAAATTAAACTTAGTCCTGATAGTACAAACTGAGTTGTTAAAATTTCTGGTTAGGTATGCAGGCTGCTTCCAGCAAGATGGTATCAGCAGAAATCAGTGAGAGGCGGAAACGGCCCAACAAATCGAGAACAAGCGGAGGAGCCAGTGCAGAAAAAAGAAAATGCTTTTGGTAAGTTTGTTTCATTGTCGTTCCAAATTGAGATTTGATGACTGATATGATCTATATCCTTCTTGTCTTTCTGCTGCAAACACATTTTTAAGTAGTGTCTGACGGGAGCTCAGAGAGTTTCCTGGAAGCTGCAGTCTTCAGGTTTCAGTGATTGTCGCATTGTACACACCAGTAATGGCTTCTGCTCTAAATGCCATTAATAGAATCTAAAGAACTTTTTTCCCCCTTTGGGGGAAAGATCACATAAAAATAAATTGCTTTATACTTGAATTACTTTCTGGTGTTGAAAGAATTAGCTTTCAAAAATTCCAGGTGGAGGCCAGGGTTATTCTTTCTGTGTTGTTCTGTTTTCTCTGTGGTTTTTCTGCAGTCATCGTTGAGGTCTTGGCTCCCTTTGCCAGTACTCTCTGCACCTACTGTTCCCTCCATTCTCAAGTCTGTTTAGCACTTGAGGATGGAAAGCACAACAGTATTCACTCTTTCTTATCCACCCTCCGATAGTTCTCCTGCGCCTCCCAGTTGGTCCTCTGGTTGCCAGCTCCGTTCCCTTGAACCAAGTTCTAGAAAATGAGAAGTGCATGTGGAGCTTGCTTGCTTGTTGGCCTTCTCTTTGGAGATAAGAAGATAATTATTGACCAAAGATCATGTAACTGCTTAAGTCCAGTGTAGAGTTTTATTGTTCTTTCTGAAATGGGAATTAAATGTTCCTGAGAGAAAAGGTAGTGGCATTTTCTGTTTTTTTTTTTTTTTTTAAGTCAGGTTTATTGAGATATTGTTGAGGTATACGGTAAAATTTATCCTCTTTGGTTGAACAATTCTGTGAGTTTTGAAAATACGTAATATGCAGTCATGTAACCACCATCACAATGAAGATATAGACTATTTTCATCACCCTTAAAAGGTCCTTTGCAGTTAAACTCCCTTCCCCCACCCCTGGCCACCACTGACCACTGATGTGGTTTTTGTTCCTATGGTTTATCGTTTTCCAGAGTGTCGTATAGCCTTCTGTGTGTGGCTTCTTTGCCTTAGCATAATGCTTTTGGGATTGATCCAGGGTATTACACTTATCAGTAGTTCATTCCTTTTACTGGCAAGTATTATTGCAGGTGTAGATATACCGCAATTTGCTTATCCCTTCTCCAGTTGATAGGCATCTGAGTAGTTTCCAGTTTGGGTTATGATTGAGTCTTAGGAGTTTCTTTTAACTGTTTATTATTTTATCCAATTTCCAACAGTTGAAATTAATGCAGCATAGGAAAAAAACTTTAAGCAAAATCAGTTTTTTCTAAGGGATTCACGGCTTTAAAAAAGAGATCCTTCTTAGATGTTTGGGATGGTTGGTTCATCTCACTAAATTTTTTTTTACTCTTATTTTTTTTTCTCCTCTATTTTTTTGATCCCTAATTGCTCTCCCCATACTGTGACAGTACACGCCTCCTTTCCACCCCTGATTCCCTGTGTCCATTCAACAAGCTCCTAACCCTGTGTGCCTTCCCATCTCACCTCCAGACAGAAGCTCCCCATTTAGTCTCTTGATTACACCTTTAGAGTATCTTTTTTTTTTTTAAATTGTACTTTAGATGAGGGTTTACAGAACAAATACTGTTTTATGACATTGGCTAATAACCCCACGACATGTCAACACTCTCCCGTCTCAACCTTGCGTTCCCTATTACCAGCTTTCCTGCCCCTCCTGCCTTCTAGTCCTTGCCCCTGGGCTGGTGTGCCCCTTTAGTCTTGTTTTGTTTTATGAGCCTGTCTAGTCTTTGAATGAATGGTGAACCTCAGGAGTGACTTCATTACTGAGCTAAAAGGGTGTCCAGGGGCCATACTCTTGGGGTTTCTCCAATCTCTGTCAGACCAGTAAGTCTGGTCTTTTTTTGTGAGTTAGAATTTTGCTCTACATTTTCCTCCAGCTCTGTCTGGGACCCTCTATTGTGATGTCCATCAGAGCAGTCGGTGGTAGCCAGGCACCATCTAGTTGTACTGGACTCAATTTGGTGGAGGCCGTGGTAATTGTGGTCCATTAGTCCTTTGGACTAATCTTTCCCTTGTGTCTTTAGTTTTCTTCATTCTCCCTTGCTCCCGAAGGGGTGAGACTACTGGAGTATCTTAGATGGCCACTCCCGGGCTTTTAAGACCCCAGCTAGAATATCTTTTCCTGAAACTTACTTACTGTCCAGTCAAGCTAACACAGATATTTTTATCCAGACGGAGTGTTCCCTGGACAAACTGCAACTCTTTTTTTTTTTAAGTAGACACTATAAATGGTGTTAAGCTGTCTGTTGCTTCTGCTAGGTTGGGCATGGACGGACTAGCGAGTGCAGAGGGTTCCAGTTCTGAGAGCTCAGATGATGACAGTGACCCGGCGCCTAGTACTTCAGGAACGTGTTGTCAATCTCCCAGAAATGGCAGTGATGGCGTTGAGATGGCAGCCGAATTTCCCATTGGTTGTCACAGGCCTGAAGTATTGAGTGCAGACTCTGGATCACCAGAAAAACTACAGAAAAACTCAGTGATTGACTCTGGGAAAGATACCTCTAAAGACTCGCGTGCTAAGCTGGAAGAGACATGGACTGAGGAGCAGACAGAAAGGAAGATGCCCATAGAAACCGAGGAGGCCCAGGAGAACAAGGAGGCAGAGAGTAAAGCAGCCCGGGCTGGACCGAATGGAGAAGAAGAGACAAAAGAAATGACTGATGGTGAAAGAGCTGCCAAGGTAGCACGTGGACAAGACAGGGAGAACATTCCCGTTGCCAAGCTGGAGGAGAGCGAGTCAGGAGACACAGTAAGCCATTTCCGGGTAGGTGTCTAGAGCCAAATCAATGTTACTTCCGCAGTAAGTCATGAAAATGAAAATGTGCTTTTTCCCATCAGCTGCTTAGTGGACAGGGTTATTTAATACTTAGAAGGTGATGGTTAAACTTGCCGTGTCCCCCCAGAATTCTTAGGTTTGTTCAGCCCCAGAATTTATACTATTTTGCCACTAGGTGGTGCACTTGGTTCCATGTTTCATCAATTCCAAGATGCCTGTTTTTCGCATTTTAACATCTCTGAAATGGAATGTGTATCAGTTTCATATTATAGCTTAATTGGCATTGTTTTCTTCTTCCTTAATGATGCATAAAATAATGGGCATATTACAATAGATGGCATTTTAGATTTGATGAAATGGCTTATTTTTTTGTATCCTGAATCTGTAGTTACTCCTTTTTTCTCTCTCATGAGAGGTATACTTTGAACCGTGATTGTCAGCAGGCTGTGGAGATCTTTCCCATAGGGGAGGAGCCACTCCTTCATTTATAAATGAAATCTTAAGCACAACATTCAGCCTTTTTAAAAAGTCATTTTCATTGTCCATACTTTCCCTCAAATAGTTGATTCTTTGTTGTCTTCAATGGACTGACTTCCGGCAAAAAATTTTAATGCTTACTCTTTTAAGCTCATGATTTGCTTTTTAGAATAGATAAAACCTGAACTACTTGGTTTCTCTTGATAAACACAAAGCCTGTCATTTCACCACAACCTCCCTGATCCCGATACATAAGCAAAAATGGATAGACTGCCCTACTTTAGGAGGCTAAAGGCTTGGATTTACCTCCCACCATCTCTGGAGTTCTAAGCATCTAACTTTTATGTTACTCATATAAATTAGGAGCTTTATCCTGACCAAAGTCTTGGAAAAATGAATAAGGGAACAATAGAATAAAACCTGATTTTACTTTTAATATTTCAGCCTTTAACCATAGAAATTTTATTCTTGGTATTGTAATAGTAGTTGTGGTATTCATAAAAGCCACGTGTTCTCCAAAGTCCTAAGTGGTGTTCTTAGGACTTGGTCATGAATATAATGAAGTCTAACAAAGTGACTTTTTTTTTTTTAATAGGAGTGGCAAATAGAAAGTTAAAGAATGTGTTTAGAGCTTTTTAATATTTAAAAAATGACCTGTGAGAGAAAATTTATTGTTCTTTGAATATACCCACTGCCACTGAGTCAGTTCCAACTCATAGCAACCCTGTAGGACAGGGTAGAACTGCCCCATAGGGTTTCCAAGGCCGTAATCCTTACTGAAGCAGACTGCCACATCTTTCTCCCGAGGAACAGCTGGTGGGTCCAAACGGCTGACCTTTCAGTTAGCAGCCGAGTGCTTAACCAGTGTGCCACTAGGGCTCCTTTCTTTGAATATAGTTTTTAAAAATGCTGGATGTGAACGTTTTCATTGTTTGCAGAGCAGCCATCATTAGAAGTACTTAATTTTGTCTCAAAGTCTATAAAGGTGTTTGGTGGCTAGAACAATTGCAAGTCTATTGAACAGCATTTGAATTTATTGAGTATATAAATGGGAACTCTCACAGTCATCCTTAATTATTCGAGTAGAAGAGAAAGCATTAAGATTATGAAATTAATGGATTCATAGGCATGGCAGTCTTATTAAAATAGAGCTTTTTAGGATGCCTGCTCTTTTCTGTGATCATTAGTGTGGGGTAGGCTGAGTATATTTTGGTGTTGGGATTTTTCCTGGAAAAGAAGAAAACAAGTAGTTACGAATCTTGTTCAGAAAAAATCCTGTAGTTCTGTTACTATTCTGATTGCTTGTTTATAAATATGTAGATGAAAAATGAGTGTTTATTAATTATATATATTGAGAAGGCATGTAGAGTAACAGTTTATTATTAAAATCCACAAGCAAGATATGGCGAATTATATGAAAAATCCTTAAAAAATAGAATATAGGTAACAGTTACAGAAAGTCTACGAGATGGATTGACACAGTGGTTGCAGCAATGAGCTGAAACCTAGCAATGATTGTGAGGATGGAGCAGGACTGGGCAGTGTTCCGTTCTGTTGCACGTAAGATCGCTCTGAGTTGGAACTAACTCGATGGCACCCAGCAACAGCATTCATTGGAGGAAGTATGTTCTAATTATTTTCTTTTTTTTCCCCGCAGCATATTGGTCAGGGAACTGTAGATTTACTGGCATTCAGCTCTGCTGCAGAATTGGAGTTGCTGGGTTTGGATCAACTCAAGTCTGAACTGATGGCCTTGGGACTGAAATGTGGGGGCACTCTGCAGGAGCGGGCGGCACGGCTCTTCTCCGTCAGGGGACTTGCAAGGGAGCAGATAGACCCTGCTTTATTTGCCAAGCCTTTGAAAGGGAAGAAGAAATGAATTTCATAGAGTTGATTTCCTATTTCTTTATAGTGTCTAGCACTTACAACCTGCATAGTGTTGACTCTTGGCCATTATTCCTGTTATTAAAAGATAACTTTTTAATAATTCAATTTGAACTGTCCTTTTTCATTATTACATTTATAGAATTAATCTGTGAAATCATCTGGGTCTGAAGTTTTCTTAGTGGGAAGACTTGACAACATATTCAATTTCTCTAGGAAATAGATTCATAATTTTGGTTTCATCTTGTGTCATAAAGTAAGTTGTATTCTCATGAAATTGATCCCTTTCATCTAAGTGGTCAAATTTATGGACATAAAGTTATTCATAGTAGTTCCTTTTATCCTTCTAATGTCTGCAGGATCTGTAGTGATAACCTCCTTTTCATACTGATACAGGTCATTTCTGTCCTTTTTCTTTCCTAATCAATCTAGCTGGAGGTTTATCTTTTTTTTTTTTAAAGAATTAGCTTTTTAAAAATTTTTTTTCAATTGTTTATTTTCTATTTCTTTGATTTCTGCTTTTATCATCATTATTTCCTCTTAGCTTTGGTTTACTTTACGCTTTTTTCTTTAGTTTAAGATAGAATCTTATGTCATTGATTTCAGACCTTTCTTTTTTACTAGTATAAATATTTAAAGCTATAAATTTACCTTTAAGCACTGGTTTAGCTGCATCTTAAAACATTTTAACATGTTGAATTTTTCATTATCATTCAGTTGTAAATATTTTCTGATTTCCTTTGTGAATTATTTGACCCATAGGTTATCTAGAGGTATGTTGTCGAATGAACAATTTGGTTTTTTCGTAAATATCTTGTCATTGGTTTCTGCTTTACTTTCATTGAGGTCAAAGAACATTCTCTTGATGATTTCAGTCCTTTTAATTTTACTGAGACTTGTTTTATGGCCCAGTATATGGTCTGTCTTGATGAATGAACCATGTACACTTGAAAAGAGTATGTGTGCTGAACCACTGGGTGAGTGTGTTCTGTAATGTCAGTCAGGGTAGCTGGTTGAGAGTGTTGTTCAGGTCTTCCATCTCTTTGTTAATTTTTTTTGTTTGTTTCTATCAGTTGCTGAGAGAGGGATATTAAAATCTTAAGTTGTGATTGTGGAATTGTCCATTTCTCTCTTTAATTCTGTCAGTTTTGGCTTCATATTTTGAAGCTCTGTTGTTAGGTTATATTATGTCCTCCTAATGAATTGACCATTTTATTATGAAATGTCCCTCTTTATCTCTGCTAATGCTTTTTGGCTCAAAGTCTGTTTTGTGTGATACTAACATAGCCACTGTAGCCTTCTTGTGCTTACTGTTTGCATAGTATACTTTTTTCTGTTCGTTTACTTTCTACTTATGTGACTTTATATTTGAAGTGGGTCTCTTATAAACAGCATATACTTGGGTCTTGTATTTTTTATCTATTCTAACAATCTCTACCTTTTGATTAGTATTTAATCTATTAACATTAAATGTAATGATTGAGACAGTTAAATTTAGGTCTTCCCCTTTACTACTTTTCTGGTTGGAGTAGTTATTTTAGAATCGCATTTTAGTTCATCAGCGTTTAAACTCTTTGCCTAATTTTTTTAGTGAATATTCTAGGGATTACAGTATACGTTCTTAATTTTTCAGTCTGCCTAGAGTTAATATTGTACCACTTCACAGAAAATGTAGAAATCTTGCAACTCTATACCATATTTTTATGCAAATAATGTGTGCCTTCTACTTTGTTTGCCAGCCACTCCCTCTCCCCACAAGGTATTTTCACTAGCACTGCTATGCCTATTTTTTTACATGTTGCTGTAGAAAAAAAAAATTAGCATAGTGCGCTTACAAAAATACCTCACGGTGGAAGGGAGCGGTTGGCAAACAAATGTAGAAAGTGCACGTTACTTTAGTGAGAATACAGTAGGTCCATTTACCATCCCTCTCCTTTATGCTCTAGTTGTCATGAATATCAAATCTATATACATAACAATCCCCATAGTATGGTATGATTTTTACTTTGACTACTAAACATACGTATTTTAAAGAAATTAAGAGAGAAAAATAAATCTGTTATGGGTTGAATTTTGTCCCCCAGAAATATGTGTTGTATATCCTAACTCCTATACCTGTGGTTATAATCCCATTTGGGAATGAGTTTTCTTTGTTACATTAATGAGGCAGTAGCAGTTAGAGTGTGTTTTAAGTCAATCTATTTTGATATATAAAAGAAACAAGCAAGGAAGCAAGCATAGATGGGGGAAGATAAATGCCATGCGAAATGACAATCGCTAAGGAACAAAGACCTTCCCCCAGGGCCGACAGAAAAAGCCGCCTCCTAGAGCCAGTGCCCTGAATTTGGACTTCTAGCCTCCTAAACTGTGGAAAAATAAATTTCTGTTTGTTAAAGCCACCCACTTGGGATATTTCTGTTACAGCAACACTAGATAACTAAGACAAAATCTTTTATATTTACCCACAAATTTACCGTTTCTGATGTTCTTCATTCCTTCTTGAGATCTGAGTTTACATCTGATAACGTTTCCCTTTAGCCTGAACTTCCCGTAGCATTTTTTATAGCACAGGTTTGCTGGTGACAAATTCTTTTTTTCTTTTCATCACTTCCAAGATCTTATTTCACTGTCTTCTTGTGTCCCCTTTATAGAATGTGTCTTTTTTCTTTGGCTGTTTTCGGGTGTGTTTTTCTGTGTCTTAGTCTTGCTTAAAGTTTGCTGAGCTTCTTTGATCTCTAAATTTATGCTATTAATCAAATGTTGGGAAACTTCAGACATTATTTCTTTAGATATTTATCCTACCCAGTTTTTTCTCTCCTCTCCCTCTGGCACTTCAGTTACAAATATGCTAAGCCTCTGTATAATCCCTTAAGTCCTTTTTTTTTTTTTTTCCCTGTTCAGATTTTATAATTTCTATGACATATCTTCAAATTCACTAATTTTGTCATTTCCATTCTACTAAGAACATATAAGGAAATTTATTTATTTAAATTTTTTTTTTTAAATTTCTAGAATTTCTGTTTTGTACTTTTCTTTTTTTAGTAGTTTTATTGCAAACCCTGTGGAGCACAGTTCAACTCTGACACCTGGGGTAGCCATGAACCAGAATCAAGCTGATGTCAACTAGAAAATATCTCTGCTGAAATTTCCTATCTTTTTCATTCATTGCAAGCATAATTTCCTTTATGTCCTTGAGCATAGTTATGATAGATTTTTTAAAATTTTTATCTGCTAACTCCAACATTTGGATCATCTCAGGATGAGTTTTTGTTGATTCTCTTTTTCTCTTGAGAATGAGCCTCATTTCCCTGATTCTTCATATGTCAAATAGTTTCAGATTGTATCTTGGACATTGTGAATATGTTGTAGAGATTCTGTATTCTGTTATCTGCCTCCAAGAGTGTTGCTTTTTTCTTCTTTTTTCTCCATTTAGCAGGCAGTTAGCTTGGTTAGACTCAGACTCCAAACTCTGTCCTCTCAGGTGGGTGGCACCTCACATCTCAGTTGAGTTCTTTTAGCCATAGCTGTGCTGCCTTGGAGTCTGCCTTCCATTTGTGTGATTCAGGTCAGGGAACAAAGCTTATATACAGAATCCTTGGCTTGCCTTACTCTGGTTCTCCCCCTTCCAGGACTTCCTTTCTCACTTTGCTGCAGCTGCAGTTTCCCTGAACTCTGTTTTCTGGTTCCTTAAGCAAACCAGACTGCAAATGTCCATCAGAGTTCTGCTTGGCATGGTGCAGGTAGGGGCTAAACATTGGAAAAGTTGGCATCTTGCCCGGTGCCATTCCTTCTTCCACATGTCAACTTCCTCAGGTATCTGACTGCTTCCAGTTGCTCTCCAGGGTATTCAGGTAGTTGTTTTTTATATTTTTTCCAGGGTTTATAATTAACTATAGGAAGGTTGGTCCAAAAGTAACTGCTCAGCCATACCAAAAGCAGAACTTCTATTTATTTAAAAAAAGAAAAAGTATATATATGTGTGTATATATATATATACATACATATATATATAATGAGTTAGAAGAGATGCATATATTTTGAATTGTGAAGGGGTAGTTTTAACTTGGTGAAATTTTTCTTATGTGCACATACACCCATATATATACACATATGCAGAGTGTCACACTAACATTAGTTCAAGGGTTCTTAACCCCTCAGTAGGGTAGTCTGTAAAATTACAAATGAAATGACATGCACAGTTTTGTGTGTAAGTGCTCTTATCCTGCCGCGAGTGAAGCATTTTAATGTAGTGGCCAACAGCTTGGATTCTGGAGATAGAACTGGTTCATGTCCTATCTTATGCCACTTCACTAGCTACGTGACTCTGGACAAATTATTTAACCTCTCTTGGAATCAATCTATTCAGCTGTACAAAGAATAGTAGTAGGAAAAATGGTAGTTACTGGAAGGTTACTGAGGTATGAATGTAGAGTATGAAGCTCTGCACAGCACTCAGACGCTCGTTTAGCTATTGTTTTTATCATCTGATTTTCAAAAAGTGTTCCTGCAAGAGAGAAAGCCTCTGCCACAATTCCCTTCCTGGTATTAGGGCCTCTGTGTTTATACAGAAGTACGGCTATCACACAGAACATGGCTGTTTAATGAAATGTGTTGGGCAAAACTGGACAGTAATAGCTATTTAAGAAACCAGGATGGAAAAACACTAAATAGACAATGGGTAAGTGGTAACTTTGGTGAAGGGTAAGACAGTACACAATACTGGGGAAGCCAGCACGACTTGTACAAGGAAAGGTCATGGAAGCTCCATAGACACATCCAAACTCCATGAGGGATTACTGGTCTGAGGGCTATAGGCACCATGGTCTCGGGGAACATCTAGCTCAATTGGCATTACATAGTTTATAAAGAAAATGTTCTGCATTCTACTGTGGTGAGTAGCATCTGGTGTCTTAAAAGCCAGTGAGTGACCATCTAAGATACTCCACTGGTCTTACCCCTTCGGGAGCAAGGGAGAATGAAGAAAACTAAAGACACAAGGGAAAGATTAGTCCAAAGGACTAATGGACCACAATTAACACAGCCTCCACTAGACTGAGTCTAGTACAACTAGACGGTGCCCGGCTACCACCACTGACTGCTCTGACAGGGATCACAATAGAGGGTCCCGGACAGAGCTGGAGAAAAATGTAGAAGAAAATTCTAACTCACAAAAAAAGACCAGACTTACTGGCCTGACAGAGAGTAGAGAAACCCCGAGAGTATGGCCCCCAGACACCCTTTTAGCTCAGTAATGAAGTCACTCCTGAGGTTCACTGTTCATTTAAAGATTCGACAGGCCCATAAAACAAAACAAGACTAAAGGGGCACACCGGTCCAGGGGCAAGGACTAGAAGGCAGGAGGGGACAGGAAAGCTGGTAATAGGGAACCCAAGGTCGAGAAGGGAGAGTGTCGACATGTCATGGGGTTGTTAACCAATGTCATAAAACAGTATGTGTACTAACCGCTTAATGAGAAGCTGATTTGTTCTGTAAACCTTAATCTAAAGTGAAATAAAAAAAAAAAAAGAAACCAAAATTCTATTCAAAGAGATCACAGGTAGCAAGAATGGTTGTACAACCTGCAAGATGTAATCAGTGTCACTGAATTACATGGAGAAATTGTCAAATCGGTGTATGTTTCGTTGTGTCTGTTTTCACCATAATAAAAAGAAAAACTGATCACAGGACTTCAAGAATAATTTTAAATGTTCTCAGAGGCACATTGAAAAGTACAAAGTAACAATTTTAACAACATGTTTTATTTAGCCCAATATATATAAAATATTTCAACATGTAATCAATATTAGAAGATTATTAATGAGATGGTTTACATTCTTTTTTTGCTACTAAGTCTCTGAAATCCTGTGTGTATTTTATCCTTACTGCACTTCTCAATCCGGACGGGCACATTGCAGGTGCTCAGGAGCCCCATGTGACTGTGGCTACTTACTTTACCGGACAGTGCAGCTCTAGAACACAGCAGAATGGCACATCTTCATCCAAACCATGGGTATAGGGCTGGGGCAAAGCTGAACCAGGCGAGGGGACTTGGAGCTTTCGGCACACTCCTCGCCCCTCGGGCTGCTGTGGTGATCACACAAAGGTGTATAAAATGAAATCTCTGTGAGGGCTCAGGTGTCGCACACGCAGGGTGGAGGCGTCTCTTCTGTAGGGACATAATACAGGCCGCTGAGCACAGGCTGGACCAAGGGCAAGAATTGTGGTCTGGGAATCCTGGTCTTGGTCTTGTTGGTGCGTGGCTGGGTGGCCTCGCCTAGCTAACTGTTGAGGTATCTGTTTACCTTTAAGAATGGAGCTTAAGGCATGGCTTAAATTTGCATAGCGTGATAATTAAACTATTAAAGGCACCTTGAAGTGAAAAGTAGGAAGGAATTAGAAATGTAGACAAATAGTGAAAATTGGAGGGCATACCGAGAAGGACCTCCGGGCTGGAAACCTCAAAGGTTACCAAGGAGATCCCTTGGTACAATTAGTCACTTAGCAGAGGAGTGGGAGTTCATCCGGGAGCCACGGCATGTCTGCCCATCTTTCAGGACAGCTCACATGCTACCTCCCCCAGCCATGGGCCTCATTGAAAGACCTATATAGTTTCCAAACATTAGTAAGCATGCAAGCCTATCGGCAAAACATCTGAGGGTGTGCACCCCCAGATCATCTCATTCACCTGTTCGGAGCCCTCCATGTGGTCCCCATCTCACTGAATCAAAGACCACGGCCTGCAAGCCCTTCACAGTCCACCCCCTCCCCTCTCTGACCTCTCCTCTGCCTCGCTCACCCCACTTTAGCCAAGGTGGCTCCTTGCTGTTCCTAGAGCAAACCAGACACACCAAAGGCCCTCCAGGCCCAGGGCCTCCGCACCTACTGTTCCCTGCACCTGCAACATTCTCTCCCGAAGCTCACAGGGTGGCTTCCTCACCTCTCCCTCTAAGATAAAATTGCAGCAACCCCACCCAGCCACACATACCCCTGTCTTTCTTTCCTGCCTATTTTGTTTTCATAATACTTATTAACAGTTAGGAGTCCCTGCGTGGCACAAATGGTTAAGCGCTGGG